AAAAATTAAGCACGACTTTCTTGAAGGAAGTGTGAGGTGAAATGATCCAAAATCATAAATGTCAGTGTTTAATGTCAGTCATTTTTATCTGTTTGTTGTTGATTGATATTTCCTATTCTTTGACCTCTCAGAGGATATACTTGTAGAGCAATTCTGTTGTTTTGATGTGTATATATTGTACAGCTACTTCATTCTCTAGTTTCCAGTTGCTCTTCTGTACATGAAAATCCTGTATTTGAAATAATGAAATAAAACTGTTCAAATGACAAAAGTGCTGATGTGCTTAAGTCATTTCACTGAAGTTCGAGCAATGCATGAGGAGTGGATTTGAGCTGATATAGAATCGCTGCACTAAAGATCCAGCAGGTTTATTTAGAATCTAGTGCGGAAACCAGGAGGGTAAAAACTGACCCGTTCATGGAGTTAACTACCTAAATAACACGAAATTCAACATGAAGTTTGATGACTTTTCCAGATCCGTTTGTACCATTAAGGAAAAGAAAATCGCTGCCCTTTAACAAAATATTTTTCTCAAAAGCTACACTATCAAGGTACAGAGACTGAAGGGTGTTTTTTGACCCAGCATTTATACATTTTAATTTACAGATAAATAGAAATACTAATGAAGAGTCCACACACACAGAGTGAGATAGAGAGAATCCTTGTGCTTTAGAGCACAAAAACGTTGCTCGGGTAGCAGCGTCGCCACAATATAATAAAAGCTGCCATCTGTAATGAACTTGACAGGAACTTAAACAGTTAAATCTGGCCATGAGGATCAGCCAACTTCATCTGGTCCTGATCCATCTGAGGCTGCAGACAGGGCATGCAAAAAAGATGCAATTATGAGCTTCAGTTGTGAAACACTTCTATAAAAGCACATGCTTGATACTTGCATCCATATCATACATGTGTTGAGTAAATACAATAATAATAATAATAATAATCTATACAGCAAAAAAGCAGTAAAACTAGTAGCGCACATTAAATCAATAATAAAGTCGCTTCTCATTGTAAAGTATGAAAACCCTTGTTGTGTGGGGTATCAATGGGACGGTGTGGGCAGGATCCTTTTTGCTGAGGGGAGGCTAGCCTTTATTGCTGTTTTCTTTTCTTAGCCCAGATTTATATTTTATTCAGATTTCCCTGTGCCAATTATTTTCAAATATTTAGTATGTGCATCAAAAAGCTGGATTTTGTTATGTTTATCCATAAGCAAAGGACACCAATCCTCAGTAACCGACAATCAACCAGCAGCTGATTGAACAAAAATACGGATTTGTCTGTTTTGAGTACAACTACTAGCGTCAGTATGTTCAATGTGTGTTAGATCACACGTTGTGGACACATAAACAGTCTATAGTGTGCTATGTACTTCTCTGTTGTGAGCATGCATGTATTAGTTTGGAGAATTCACACTGTAAACATGAGCTATTCACCATTAAAAGTGGTCTCTCTATTTATTTATTTTACATACACGTGATTAACAGAGAACAGTTAAAGGAATTGGCAAATTGGACCATCAACATTCGTGTATTATATTGGTGATACTTGATACTGGATTTTGGTATTTCATGAATAGAGATTTGAGCCTATCTGGATATTTTCTTGGCATGTGGGTACTCAGCTTAACTACATCACTTGCTACAGATGAAGCATGCAGGTAGTATAGTAGATAGCCAGAGTAAATCCAGGGCTTGGAGGGTGAAGGAAGGAGAACTGCGATTGCACAGCCATTGTTGTGTCAGAGAAGAGAAGGAGAAGTTGTCAGAGGCACTTCACACCAACAGGTGAGTGCAGTAACTCATGGTCACTGCTGTTGTAACATTGAACTGCATCACAACAGTAAATGCTTTGATTTCATTACCATTTCACACATTTCATCATGTTGTAAAAATCAACTAAAAACTATTGGTATCAACTGAGCAACAAATTGAAAACATGAGTTTGATAACATCATGCTCTTTCACAGAATTTGACATTTTCAAGAAACATTTTACTTCTTTTGTGGGAAGTTTTTATCCAAAGTGGTACGATGTCATTAGGGTCTATACTTGTTAGGAGCAAATTACTTCTAGTGATGTTACTTTTGAACATTGATCTTTCATGCAATCCGATTGTGGAACTAGGTATTGTAATTTCTGGAATATTTGTCAATATGTGTAAGCTGATGGTGTTGGTTGGGCTGCAGGCATGGTGTCAGACATGGAGAGCATCATCCAAGGAGACCAGGACTCCGTCCAGCTCCTGCTGGACAGCTACAACACCCAGGTCATTGTTTGTTGCCATGACTACTGCAGTCTATAACTAGAAATATGATTTGTTTGTTACCATGGAAACAGTCTGCAGGATTACAGTTGGTAATATAACTTCAGCAACAAGCCTGTTCTGTTGAGCCCATTGGTTGTTCATTTGAGTGATTTCTGTGTATTAGTACATTTCCTCTTTCCCCTGTGTTGCTCTACCAATGTGGACACGCCCACTGCTCCGACCACCACCTCTCTATTCAAATTAAAATAAGCTTTTTTGGCATAAATGTCAATGTTACATTATTGTCAAAGCTAAATTACATATAATCAAAACTATTATATTTAACAAGAAAACCAAATAGATCAATAATCATAAGGCAACAAATGTTTTTTTATTATTTTTAAATTTGAATAAATGGCACATGAGCATCTCTCTCTAGTGTTTTTTTTATTTCAATTTTGTGTTTGTTGTAGATACCCTGTTGGAACGCCTCCCCGTACTAGCCAGTCTGCCCTTGTCTTGCTGCTGTTGTCCTTATACAAATGAAATAGTCTCCATCTTACAATGTCTAACTCCATCTGCACCCGTTTCTCTTTTGCTCTGCTCAATAGAGGAAATGATTTCCAACCCGTTTGGACAGTTTTTACTTTATCAACAACAAGCTGATCATGCATCACAAAGCAGAGTACTCCTTCAGCTCGCAAGGAGACAGTGACACATCCAGGGAATAGGCAATGAACGGGGTCAGTAATGCCTCTGATGTTGTTCCATAAATGATGCTTCAGGTTGGGCCAATAATATTCCATATGAGGTTTTCAATTCAATTATAATTGTCACAGCCCGGCTCATAGACTGAAATAAAACAGGGAGACAATCAGCTGGCGCCAAAAGTAGTATTTATTTGTGATGCCAAAAACACGCAACCGCACTTTACAAGGTCAGCAACCGTGGTCGCGAGCCCGTCAGCACAGGTCTTCCTTTCCCCCCTGGGCTGCCAACTGGAAAGGGTATTTAAGGATGAGCCACGCCCCGGCACAGGTTAGACTCATCCTGGTAACGATCCTCCACTCAGCACCTGTAACAGATGGAAAAACTGGCACCTATTGTATGACAGGAGGAGGGTCGTCACATAATGCAATTATTTTGTAAAGCTTAAAATCCCAAATCTGCCTCAGAGGGCTTTACAATCGACATCCTCGCATCGGTTAAGGAAAAACGACCCCCGAAAAAAAACCTTTTGTTTGGTGAGAGAAAATCTTGGGACCAGGGATGAGTGCTTGATTAACACATCGAAACATTGGCACTGTTGCAGCTTGTTGGATACGCCAAGGGAGCAGCTTCAGTTAGGTTTGACACAGAACAGGGATGCAAATATAATTACAAAAGGCACACACAGATTGGAATGTAGATAGACACACATAAAAGCAAGTAAACTAAACTAACAACACAGTTCCATTCCTCTATGTACTGTACTGCACGGGATGGCAATAAAGTCTCTCTTATCTCATGTTACTATTGCTAAAAGTTGGCTACACAATAACAATATATTACTACATAATAGAGAATGTAAATGATGTGACACATGAGTCTCAAAGCAAATCATCAGAATCAGGTAATAGTGCAGTATGACTGATTCATTGTTCATGAGAGTGACGGCCAGTGGAAAGAAGCTGTTCCTGTGTCTGGTGGTCTTCTGAGGTACGGTTGTTGGTGTAGAGGGAGAAGAGCAGTGGGGAGAGCACACATCCCTGAGGGGCGCCGGTGCTGGATGTGATTATTTCCAGCCTCACCTGCTCACCTCACCTGCTGCAGACAGGAGTCTGTCAGGAAAGAGCGTTTGGGTTCAAGCATTTCTGGGATGATGGTGTTGAACGCAGAGCTGAAGTCCACAAACAGAACCCTTGCATATGTCCCTGGGGAGTCGAGGTGTTGCAGCATGTAGTGCAGTCCCATGTTGACTGCATCATCCACCGACCTGTTTGCCTGGTAGGCAAACTGCAGGGGGTCCAGCAAGGACCCTGTGATGTCCTTCAGGTGGGTCAACACCAGTCTCTCAAACGTTTTCATAACCACAGACGTCAGGGCGATGTTAAAGTGTCTTTTTTCATTGGTGGGTTTAATGTTTTGACCTTAATCTAAGAATCAAATTTATACATTTAATAATGTGACAAAACAAATATTATCATTATGTATTTTGCTATTATTTGCATGATCTGCTGATGTCAGCAGAAAGCTGTTTTAGTTGACAGAGTGAAGTACTCACATGTATTCAACATAAACAAACTTGCATTAAAAAGTGCAAAACAGAGATTTAGTTCAAATCTGTTGTAACTTCTTTATTTTTGCCGGTTTGTTTTACTTTGAGAGAGACAACACATTGAGAGATAACACAGAGACAACACAAGTTAATGTTGTAGTAAAGGAATAGAAAGCAGTGGCTAGGTTGAAACATTTAAAGCTCTAATGTGCTTTGGAAGTGGCCAGCAGTAACGTGGAGCAAATCCACCATTTGGTCAGGAAAGACAGTTTGCATGCTTGTGAGAGTACGTCCAAGTGCAGCAATGTAAAGAACATCACTGAGACACAGGAAACAGGAGGATGACCCAACGTTTCCGGAACAAAGAGAAAGAAGTGGGAAAAGTGGGGCAGGCTGAGGTTTAGAAGCTATGAGCTGGAGGAGGGACAAGTAGCAGGAAAAAAAGGGAAGGGGAGGAACACAGAGAGGGCGGGCAACAACGCACATCTGGAAATAATTTAGGAGAGAAAGAGAGAAAGAGATGCAGTTCTGTTAAGAAAACGACACAAAAAGTAAAGTAAAACCTTCCAGGTGGAAAATTACACAAATCTAATATAAAGTTCTGAATCGTGGAAGAGGACAAGTTGATTTGGGGAAAGCAGGCGGACAACGTCTACCAGTGAAGAACAATAGCGAGGAAGAGAAGCAAAGCCTGGCTGCTTCAGGGACCAATGCGAAGGTGATCTGAAGAGAAAAAGTAAGTAAAGAACAGAACCAGTGGGTGAAGGAGCCGGGAGACACGAAGAGGACCAGGACAAAGAATAGAAACTCACCTTCAGGTAAAGTCTATTGCATATGAATTACTGTTACACTAAATCTGGACACCAGACACTCCACTTAATGTTCAAACCTCAGCATGTTTAAATTAATATTACATTTTGTCCTACTAATCACTGTTCAAGTTTAGTTTCTATGCGTTAACATGGAACTGTTTTCACTGTGCAAAACATCTGTGGACCTCATTAAACACACTGGGCTGCTGACCATAATAATGATAATATCAATTATAGTTATCAACATAATAATCTCAACAATGCATTAAATGAGTTGAAAGGATTGCCCTTCAAACCACCTGTTTACTGGAAGATTTCTTTCGTCACTTTTTATGCTTTTTCATTTTGAACGACTTATTTCCAAGAAACTTATGAGCACATCTCTGGTCTGGACTTGCATTTATATAGAACGTCTCTAGTCTTCAGACCACTCACTGCGCTGTGAAAATCACTGCGCTGTCATTGACTGATGGCCTCCATACAAGGTGCCACCTGGTTTTACAGTTTTACTGATCTGTCTAATAACTACACTAATGAATTAGTCGAGGACAGCCCTACTGTTGACATGTACCTGATGAGGACCTCTAGACTTTTTGTGCCTAAAATACCCAAACATAAACCATAGCAATGGCTGATGAGATACTGACATGTGTGAGGGTTACTGGTGTTCGATCAATCACTGTAGGTCTGAGGTTTTCAAAGTGGGAGGCGGGCCTCCCCGGGGGGCTACAAAATATTCAGAGTAGAGACCAAATGGAAATAAAAACTGATGAGATTAGTTTTTACATTAGTGATAAGATCACATAGCGTAGCCTAAATATGTGTGTTTCATAGATAGCTCAGAGATACAGTAGTTTCTATTTTCTTACTTTCTCTGAGTCAGAAACAGATAAATCAGTGAATCAGGACAGACATTTTTCTTTGGTGTAGTCTGAAGTTATGTCAAACAGTACTACTAGGCTGTCTTGGGTCAATTGTTGAGTGTCTATGGCAACCTTAGGCACTAGCAATAAGTGTGCAAGACAGTTTTTGGGAGAGATTGAGGTTCCCTTTCATCCACACGCCAAATTTTCTTTCATAGCCACTGGCAGATGCTCGGTCTGTTATTGATTGATTGATTTTTTTCCCCACACCTGCATTGAGTGAAGCACTCTGCATTCCTTCCCTGCCTCTGATTGGCTAGCCCTCGTTGCCTTATTCACAGTCTCAGACTTTGAGAACCTCTGCTGTAGGTCTCATCATGTCCTCTGACTATTCACCTATAGTAGCTGGTAGAAACATGCACTGACATGAAACACAAGCTTTCCTCCTTGATTTATACAATCAATACAACAACTAACATAATTCTGTGCCATACTTAACCACAGCAGCTATCGTCACTTTGCTCTGAAAAAGGGTTTGTAGAAGATGTGTGACTCACAGGTTTGCTGTGGCCTTGGGAAATGCCTTCAGCAGTATAATTAGGTCTACTGAGGAGAGGGGGGAGCTTCCTTCCTGTCAGCAGTTTGACTTCCTGTGTGGGGTCAGTAGTCAGTGTGAGGACCACTTAGTCAGAGACCAATCACACTACTACTGTGAACATGCTCACATACACTCAAACACATAACGTGTTTGTAGGGTAATGTTTCACAACTTTGACCTATTAAAAACATCAACGTCATATAAACCCATACACTAAAAGAGTTAGTCGCTGTAATTATTCCTCTATTAGTGACCACTTTTTAAAATATCCACCGTCTTCATCCTGTGCAAAGAGAACAGGAAGCTGAAGTAGCATCACAGTAGGTTGTATCACAGTAACAAAGTACACATGTACAACATGTGACTATAATATACCAGAACATATCACTGTCTGTGGAAACACACACACGCACACACACACACACACACACACACACACACACACACACACACACGTCAGAATAGCATTACCTTCCGGTCTCCACTACTCATATCTACTTTAATAACTAACATTACAGTATCTTACAGTCTTGTGTTTAACATTTGTATTTGTTAAACATAGAGGTTCCATACTTTTTAGTTCGTATGTAACTGTAAAAATACAGTAACAGAAGAACCACATTAAGATAAATACATTTCATTACAACCAGTATGGACACAATCTAGAATTCGGTTAAAAGTGTTAACAATTAACAAACAGTTGGTTTGAACTAGCCAATCCTAGTTTAGGAAAATTTCCTCCCTGGACACGCCCCCGTTGTATGTGTTTGTGCTGTAAAAAATGAAATTGAATTGTCTTGAAACATCTTATCATTCTTCTTCACAATACACATTTCCCATCTCTTTGGTGACTTGCTCCCTGCTCAAACACCAGCCCTCTCACCAAGGAAACCCCAGACACACCACAACAAAGCCATAAAAGAGACTGTACATTCATTCCTCAGTTATTTAACCATAGTGACCCGCATGACGGCACAAAAACACAGTAGCCAGGCTAAGTTAGCGGTAACATGCAGCATTGTTTGAACGTAGTTCTCTTCTGCTTCCCTCTTTCTGTTGCAGGATGTCAGTGTCTCGGAGGTGTTTGTGCTGTGTCAAATATTTGATGTTTGTCTTTAACCTCATCTTCTGGGTTAGTATTGCTCAGTCCCAAGTTGCTGTCATACATTTTTGTCCATTTACACTTTCCATAAAGAGTTAACTTTGAATATGCTTATTGCATGCTTCTGAAATGATTTAACACTGAGTTCCACAGACGTGCCAAGTTCACACAATTTCCAGACTATGCATTGTGAGTAAAGTTGCATTTTGACACCGGCTTGACATTACGTTTCCTGAAAAGCTAGGAGGATGCGGCTTGTTTGGCATTGGAGTCTGGCTTTCCTTCACGCAGGTGGAGTTTTCCTCTCTTCCCCTGTCTTTTCCATCCCTCTCAGCTGCCAACCTGCTGCTGGTTGCCGGTGGCATCACCATGGTGACTGGCTTCCTGGGTTGTCTTGGAGCCCTGAAAGAGCAGCGGTGCCTGTTGTTCATGGTGAGAGGTCCACCAGGTGGAGAAGTTGCAGATATCTTTTGGCTATGTCAGTCTCCAACTGCTCTTTTCTGTTCTGCAGTTCTTTGTGATCCTTCTGCTCCTGGTCCTGACAGAGGTCACTCTAATGTTGGTTATACACATCTTCCATGACAAGGTGAGCTCACCATCTACCAATGCAATGTACACAGAGGATAACATTAGAACGAGAATAAAATAAGGGATACAAAATAAACATCGTAATAACATCACTATTGTACGGGGAATGATCAAGACTAAGGTTCATCTCAAAATTAGGAGAGAAAATATAAATGTGGTGAAAATGAAGATGAGTTGGAAAAAAACAAGTCTGGTGTTGTTGTTATAGATATGGTTCAACAGAAAAGGACATGGGTAAGTTAAAATCTAAATTTGCTGACTCTGAGATCAAATTTTGACTGAGTCGGCTGGAATCTTTGCTCAGTCTTTCTCAGATTAGGTTCCAATGTTATTGAATATATCAGATATCCAAATCAATGCAGCAGTTATCATTGTCAAAATCACTAACAAAGACCAGGGCATGAGTAAGGAACAAAAGTAGTTTTATTTGGAATGGCTGCAGGATGTGGAAAAGGTTGGTTACTGGTTGAGTTCTGTGGGATGATGAGGGGTGGAGGAGAGGAATGGAAGGGGGCCGGTTGCATGGCGATGAACAAGAGCTGAAGGTCAGTTGGGGTCGTGTACGGTGGGGGTGGAGACTCAGGGTGGGTCCACTTCTTATGTACAGTCTATGAGTTGGACACATATATCTAGCATAGGTCTGCACTGGTGATTGAGTTGATGATACACAGGACACTGAATTAGTGGGGAGAGAAGCTGATCTTGTTCCTGAACCTTAGTTATAATAACTTCATTTACTTTTTGTTTTGTTTTTTGCAGAGGCTCAAGACTTCTCGTTGACTTCTGTCCCCTTTGTTGTTTTCACTGGACATTTGACTTTTAGCTTTATGAGTTAGGGAAAGTATAACTACTAAAAAATAAAATATCTATTTTGCTAATGATATACGTTAGCGTTAACGTTTTAACATATGGTATTAGTTATATCCAGTCCAGCTCCTGAAGTGATTTCATCAGGAAACTTTTAATGGATGAAAACAGCTAAAGTGAAACCAGAGAGCTCATGATGATCAATCATTATATAATAAGTTCACAACATACAACCAACAATAACAATAAAACAATACGAAGACAGACGATAATATAATCAGGGGGCCCATAGCGACGGGGACATTTGATCTTGTTGTTACATGTAATGAAATAGAAACACAATGTTTTCTTTGCGCATTACTCTTTAGGAATCCTGAATGTTTTTCACTATGACCTCTGGTTACGTATAAAATATGATACAAGCAGCCTCTGGGTTTGGGATAATGTTTATGAAATATGAACGTTTTGTAATCACTAATCTTCATCAAAGATTGTCACAAGCTTAATAAAATGGAGCAATGCGATATAATCGTCACAACTCCAGTTTAAAGATTTGTCTAGTGAGGATGGATGCAGCAAGCATCAATCTGTCGCCTCACAGAGGGTTCTGGGTTTGAACCCGCTGGGTGAGTTTTCATGTTCTCCTCGTGTCAGCGTGGGTTTTCCTTTAGCAGTCAATAACATGCAGGTTAGGTTAATTGCTGACTCTAAATTACGTGTAGGTGTGACTGTGAGCATGGATGGTTGTCTGTTTCTATGCGTCAGCCCTGTGATTGAGCTGCGACCTCTCCACAATGAACCCTGCCTCTCTCTCAATGTCAGGAATCTTAAAAACACATCACCATGGGAAATTGTATGTGATTGCTTTTCAGTATTTCTAACATTATAGAAAGTGAATAATCAAGCAAATGCCCTTTTATGACACATTGCTGTATGTCCACACTACCAGGGCCTCAGTTGTAAAAAATCTTAGCACCAGCAGAAGTGAAGAAGAAGGTGGAGGTCCTTCTTCTGCTGTGCCTTGATAAGCCATCCTCTTCTAGAGGTTCCTGTAACAGGCCATCTCTTCCCAGTTGTTGGGGTTAATGCATTATCTTCTCAGGTGGGATATGAGGTCATCCATGTAATGCTTCTTTTGTTCCCTTTGGGTGTGGATTGTATGGCCTGTCCATCGAAGCTGGTTCCATGATAGTTGTGGAGATACTTGGTAGGTTGGCTTCCTCCAGGATGGTGACGTTTGTCCGCCTGTCTTCCCCGTTGGTCCAGAGGATCTTCTAGGCATTGCTGCTGATATTGTTCCAGGGCTGTGATGTGTCTGTTGTAGGTAGTGCAGCATTCAGCCCCATAGAGGAGTGAGGACAGAACTACTGCTTGATAGGTGATCAGTAGACTGATCACCTATCCATGTTCACACTGCCTCAAGATCCTGGATCAAATATCTGTTTCTTTCTTCCTCTTTTTGTAAGCTGGATGCCAAAGCACAAGGTGAATTGAAGGAAGGTATGAAGATTTATGAATCAGAACCTGGACTGAAAAAATCTTGGGACAACGTCCAGAAAATGGTGAGCACTCTTTACAAACAATGCATAATGTCTTATGTTGCATGCGTGTACAGTAGGACAGGCTGTGTAGAACAGAACAAATGATGGCACTACTGGTGGAAGTTGTCACAGTCACTCCACCCTAAAGGGATCAGTATGCCTAAAACTAACTATACCTTTACCTCTTGTCTAAGGTTGTTTCATACTCTTAAGCTACATACAACATACTGTATTTAAACAATGTGTCAGGTATCCCTTGGTCACATTTCAATGTCTACAGGCTGTATAGATCATTCTGATGGCCTTTTCCCTGTAACATTTTTGTTTTCCTTTATCACAACTGTAACCGTTTGTAGAAACTACCCGCTGGATTGTTTGGCCACTCAGTGGTTGTGATACTATTGGGATTGTGTACCCTCCATCCCTGAGCCCGCTTTTCAAACAGGACTAGTCATTAGTGTATAAGTTATGTCTTGCTGTCTCTTCTCCCAGTTCAAGTGCTGTGGAGTAACTAACAAAACCGACTGGTATGATGTACTGAATGGAACGTTGCCCTCATCCTGCTGCTCCGTTGGGACAGACCAGTGTGTTGACGGATGGAGTGAGGTTGGTCTGCTGCTCAGCTATAAAACAAGTTGTTTTTATTTTGTCTGATTCTCTCAAATGAAATCTAAATGTGTTCCAGATGCATGAGTGTGTCCGAAGGCCCTGATGAATTTAAAAGGAGTCAGAAAAATGAAGCCACAAATATTTGTGACAGTAACTGGACACTGCATCCAGTATTTGATATCATGATTTCCAATTATAATTATTATAATTAACAGTTATCAGTAACTTACCTTGCCTGTCCTTTGTCCTTAGCATCTGAGGTATTGATTCATATGAACATCAGCAGGTCGGTTTGGCTCCTTATAAACAAGATCTGGAAGTTACTAGTTGTCAGGATCTTATTTCTATCTAAATGTGCACACCTGAAACACAATATGAGCTTGTTTTGTAAATGCTGTTGGTTTTGCAGGAGTGCGGATTGATTATTTAATAGAAGTTACCCACAAGACTGCTGAATTTTGTTTACTCAGTCAAACAAGGTGGATTTTCATACGGCACTGACATGCATTCAGACCAAAAGCTGCCTGAATAGAAGAAATGGGTGGCAGAGGCTCAGAGGTACAAGGGGTCGTCCTCTCATCTGAAGATTGCCAGTTTAATCCCGAGCTCCTCCAGTCAGCGTTCAGAAGTGTCCCGGGACAAGATACTGAACCCCAAACTGCTCCCAGTGCCATCTGTGTGTGAGTGTGTGTGAATGAGCATTAGTTTAGATTCTGATGGGCAGGGGGCACCTTATGTGGCAGCCTCTGCCACCAGTGTATGAATGGATGAATGTTGACATGTATTGTTAAAGCACTTTGAGCGGCTGGAAGACTATAAAGTCGCTATACATATGCAAGTCCATTTGAAAAATCGACACAACAGCATGCAGGAAAAGGGCCAGCAGGTAATGAAAACCATGTGATTCATAAATTCAGATATCCAGAAACAACGTAATGGCCATTTCTGTTAGAGTACCACAATGGGACTAGAGAGTACAATGTGTAGAAAAGTTAAGGCACTGTACTGTACACACAAAGCTGTTGAACATAATAGAATAGAATGGACACATTCCTAACATTCTTCATGTGTGACAGAATCACATACCCTCACCCATCTGGAATCCATTCAGATTTAGTTTGAGAGAATTAGGCAGTTTAAAATATCTTGTGAGAGATTTAAAATCTCAACAGCATTATCCTGGCTAAATAAAGGCAGAGTAAAAAACATAGGTTGAATTTGTCAGGAACTGTTTAAGCTAACTGGGAGCACTGTGTTTTTTTTATTGCTTTACATTCATACATTGCCACCACAGTTTCAGGTTTAGTTTTGGGTCTTTTTTCACAGATTTGGCCGGTGTTTGGTTATGATTGCGTTGTTTTGGTGAAATCTTGGAGCACAATAACGTCACTACAATGAAGTCCATTAGGACAAGACCTGACAGGGTGAAAACAAGCCAGCAATTTATCCAGATTAATGAAAGCACTTTATTTGAAGTTCAAGCTGAAAGTGAATACTGAAATGTTGCTAATAACCCCTCACTGAACAGAACAAGTGTGTGCACTAATCTACAATAAGTACAGTAGATTAAAGTGTGTCTACATACTATGATAATGTTTACAACAGACAGCTTGAGGAATCATTTTACTCATGAGTGTTCCTTGTAAAGCCAGTATTGCTGATAGGAATGATGGCCAGAACAAATACGATGACAGTTAACTCTAATTGCAATCATCTTTTGAAATAATTTCTTAGACTTCTGAGTTTTTTCATTTGTCCGTCTGTAAGCATTATCTTGCAAATAGTTCTGTATAACCATTCTTCCTTTCTCTTGGTCTTTACTGACTGTATGTTAGACCTGTCGTCACTGTCTCTGTCTGTCCCCTGCAGCCGTGTTATCAGAAGGCCAGGCAGTGGCTGCTGGATAACATCTCCTCAGTCCTGGTGTTTGGAGTGTGTATTGGTGTTGTGCAGGTATTTATCTCCAATATTTATGTGTCATTTATATTATGCTGTCTGTTTAAACCCTCTCTGACCTCAGTGATTGTTGACATGTTGTTAGCATTTTGGGGAAGTGTTAGCAGGACAGTAGACATGCACTCTAAGTTCTGAATTAAATGTGGATGCATTAAAAAAGTGTTATCTTTGACATACCTTAAATGTAGATGAAGTTGTGTCTGTTTGCTATCTATCTATCAATCTGTCTATCTATCTATCTATCTATCTATCTATCAATCTGTCTGTCTATCTATCTATCTATCTATCTATCTATCTATCAATCTGTCTATCAGTCTGTCTGTCTGTCTGTCTATCAGTCTGTCTGTCTGTCTGTCTATCTATCTATCTATCCAACGTTTCATTGCGTGAACATCTTCCGTTTTATTGTGACGAGTGGAGGAGACGGTGGAAAAAGATAGGTTTCTATTTTAGTAAGTGATCAATGTAAATAAGTTTGCAAAGATTTGTTTTACTGTTGTCACTATTGAGTTCATAACTGCTTTTGTTATTTTCCAGTGGATGTTGTTTACAGAAAAGGGTATTGTAGCTCAAATGCCTCCTGAATGGAAAGAACAACAAATTCACAGTATGTACAACATTATGTCATTGGACAACCCAAAGCTCTTTCAGACCAGCCAAACAATCCTTCATCATGTGAAAGTTGCACTATAAATTGGCCACATCTTGTTTCATCCTTTTGGTGGATAACAATTATTTAATAAACTTCATCTATCTATCTATCTATCTGTCTGTCTGTCTGTCTGTCTGTCTATCTATCTATCTATCTATCTATTTATCTATCTATCTATCTATCTATCTATCTATCTATCTATCTAT